GATATCGATCGATAATTTCGAATTCTTCATACCCCAGAACCAATTTAAGTGAAATTTTGCAGAAACCTTCCATGAACCATAGATAAACCTAGATAAACCAAACATTGGTGTTTGAATGATATTGCCCCCCTCCTACCCCCGCCGACCACATGAAGGGCGGGGTCAAAAGGGTTCAAATTGACTAAATAAGTCAATGTATATAGTCATATATCCCAGATAAGACAGAATGAAATACACTGCATAAATGGAAGCGTGCTGAAGTGCTTTTATCTGCTTTAAAAATGGCCCAGTCAATGAATTTATTTTTCCAACTTCACTCTTTAAAACCGGTAACAATTTAGCAGAAAATATAAGAAGAAAATTTTCAGTTTACAAATTTCCATTTTGACCCAAAAATATCATCTCACAAAAACTCATATTTGGAATAGCTTACAATGTTTAGCTCAAACAAATAAGCTTATCTTATTGCAAAATGACCCTAATTTGAAAAAAATAGAACAGGATGGTAGTTTGATATTGTAATTATGTACACATAGAAGCAGAAATACGTCACTCGCCAACAGTGAATTATTACAAATGTATTCTCAAAAATATAGCCAAAATATTATTTCAGTTGTACATATACACACATGTGTCGACAACCTAAGGTCGACCTGTTTGATTGGATACCTTTACATGTCACGTGGTGGGACGTACATTTGTATCTGTCACGTGATAAGTGGTATGTAGAAATCGTGTGCTACATCTCAAAACTCCGAAATTACCACGGTAGAATAATATGTACCCTTGGGATCAAGGATAGCACCCTGTATGTAAGACGTGAACCGCTTCTGAACTTAAACACTTTTCTAGATACAAGGTAAGAAGGCACAAAGTCATTCTTAATTTAAACAGTGTCGTATGATAGTTGATAAATTGTTACAAATAATTACTGCCATGCAGAGCTTTTCACCTGTATTGATTTATAAATAATACTTTTAATGGATGTAAATGAACATGATATTGGTCCATATAAACACTTTATACACTTTTTAAGAAGCATTTTGTTTTTATTCCATTATTTGTGCATAGTATACCAAATCCTTTTTTTATTGATATTACCGTGGGTGAAATTCAACAGTTCGTATTATTTGATTTTTTTTGGCTCTTTTTTGGTAGTTTATTATTTTAAACAAATCATCTCACTAAACACGGACATCAACGTTGTAGAGCTGCATGTATACTTTTGTCTATTTAGGAATTAATGGAACCTATTATTTGTAAGTTTGAAATTCGAATAAAATTGTCTAGATTAACTATCAGTGTCCGCTAATTAATTACGTCATTCTTTTGATACGATTTCGAGTTTCTATGTGATTTAATTTCGTATTAATATCTAAATATCTAGATGGCTCATTATGCGGGCATCGCCAGATACGAATTAACTGGAAGAACCTGTGGGGAATTTGAATTACTACAGGGGGGGGGGGGACGAATGGAGATAACTCGACGCTCGGCTTGGTCCTGTTACTTGGGACAATTATCTTTGAAAGTTCCTAAATTATGTGTGTTAGGATTTAAGTAGAGAGCGGTGGTGTATGGGTGAAGAGAGCCTTTTTTCAAGTTCACCTAACAGAGTTAAAGGATGCGAATCTATTAAAATAACTCAAACGTAGTGTTAGTTCACAATTCACAAAATATATTAATGTAGATACCAACATCTAACCGCTTAGTATCATACGTAAGGTTTAGATGTGATGTTCGGTCGTGGGGGATGGCTACAACAATCTTGCGGAATATCTTGCACACTATACACAACTTCAATGTATCATGGAACTTTTAAGGTCTGTTTTTGCTCTTTTAACCCCATGACACTAAGTGCGTTGTCTCACCGACAAACGTCAGCGTCATTGTGACGTAATTACACGAAACAATCGTGGGTTAAAAGATGTTATTTAATCTGACCTAATAAAGCTTAGTATTTAGTATAATTTCTTGTTCAACAGGTTAAGAAATGGCAAGCGACAAAGAAAGATACCAAAGTGACACCATAAACATTGAGGAATTAATACAGACATATACGTGGAAGCGATTTGTGAAGACCAAGCCCCTCTTACGTCGGCCATTCTATAGGAAAACACATTTCACCGTCGACTTCAATTGGGCTTACTTAGATTTCAAGCATGAAACCACCAAGTTCAAGATTCGCAAAGATTCTTTCCCTTCGCATGTAGCGGAAGTGGCAACCAAAAGTCAAGAGTCGAGGTTATGCAGAGGAGAATGTGTTAATCGACACGGAAATAAAAATATCATTTTGTACAAGGCTCAGTACGCGAACCACACACCAGTAGGCCAGACGTACAACGTCAACGCCACACGTGAAACAAAGGCTTCCTGTAACGTCGAAATCCTAAACACGTACACCAAGGGTACAAATTATAACATAGAACTCAAAATACCAATTGAATTAGTAGCGGTGTCCGCGGGACACAGTAGTAGTGAAGAGCTTGTCATCACCGATAGAAAGGGTGAAACATTCGAAGAAACGATGACGTGGGCGATAAACCATGACGTCAGTATAGTCAGTGGCCATACTGCCGAGGTGACACTGTCAGTGTCAGAACGAAACAGTACAGCTGACTTTGAAATTAAAACGACAGTGTCACTTCCGGACGGTAGAGATTTGCCGGTGTATGTAAAACGTGCCTCGGACAACTCCATTGTCTATATGGATGTCATTTCTGACCTTGAATTCGTATTTGGACGAGTAGCGAAGGAAAGGACGCACGTTCATCTCGTAAACTCAAGAGATCCAACACGAAACTTGCTGAGAAAGAACGTCATCATCACAACAAACGGCACGTGCAGAAGTGTGTCATGGAAAAAACATGATGTTCACGTGAAAAGTGTTTTATCTCCAGAGCTAAATTCTGAAATCGTAAATGGTGATTCAACTTTGGTTCTGAATGGGGCTAACGATATTAGGTCAACAGGAGTAGACGAAAGCAGTTCTACAAAGGAAGAAACAGAGGACAGCGTAACAAGCTCGTCGGGAGTAGACGATTGTGAGACGATATCGCTGCTGGGGACACCTCGTCCTGAGGAGACAGAACATACATCTCACAAGACGATAATTATTTAGACGAGGAAGAGAGTTCGGTCGATGGAGAGGAAACTTTACATGTAGTTCACATCCACATGACTTAGGAACATTAATACGTCGACGAAGATGGCGATATTTTCAATCAGGACGATTTTGGTTTAAGCAAAATGATTATTCAATTGATAAATCTTGGGTAAAGGCGACATGTTATAATATATTATCAATATTTTTTTGTCATGTTGTTTTGTATATATACACGTATATAATTTAGGTGTCCTTAATGGACGCTAATTTTAAGCACTAAATACTTGACATCAGTCTCATTTCGTCCTTAATTTTCGCAGTTTTTTGTACTAAACATTAACGTGAATTTATATCCTTTTCATTGTATAACGAGGAAAATAGTATGAATCCACGAGGTAAGAAATCCAGATATTGCATGATTCTGTGAAGTAGCCATTACGTTTGACTATGGAGTGTCTTTAATGCGGTGTTTTGTATATAAAAATAAGATACAACATGTACGTTCAACTCGATCGACTCCGAATTATAAATACATGCACTCCTGTCGCTAAATTACAGCAAACCTTTAAATATTTGTTTTAAGCTCTTCTGGTCGGAGCCTAAAAGAGCTTATGTCAAGACGCCTCGTTTGGTGTCAGTCCATCTGTCTGTCTTTTAGCAAAATCCTCCTAGATAAAAGAGCATGCAGAAAGGGAGCCTCAACTAGCACGTAGGATATGTTCTAGAGTAAGATATAAACGAATTTGACCGATGTGAAGTTCAAGACGAACGCAACAATTTGGATCATCAACACTAATACATGTCCATATGTCACCATGTCTATTTAGGTGTACATGCACTTTATGTTGCTTTACGTTACAGTTTGTTTTACCTAGGAATACAATTCACTCATTCCATTGGATAACTGATGTCACGTGGTGACCGTCTCTGTTCCTGTATAAACGAAAATAGTTTCATGATACGAAATGAATTTCCTGTAGGGACAAAGTAAAATATAGCGATTCCTTAAATTCGTCTTTTGGCTTTCAACTTGGCAAAACTGATCAGTTTTAAATTCATTGGTGAGGTATTGTCTTTAGATGACAAGGAAATGGTTGAAATATATCTGTTGACATAAGTATATACCCACCAGGATTAAAAATCAAGGACACAACAGACTCTTCTACATCAGCTTCCTACCTGGATCGTTTCTAACAACTAAAACATGTGCGATTATTCCAGTTTCCCTGACGAATGCCTCCATTTCTGGAGGGTAAAATTCCTGCATCCCCAATCTCTTGTGTTTTATATGCTAGTTATCTATACTACGATTTTCGACGACTGACAGATAAACTCAACACAGGGTTTGAATGACGATTTTTGATCGTCATTTGGAAATATTTTATGTTACTGTGTGATATTAAGTGTTTGGTTCTCGTTAGTTTACTGTTTTCTCATTTTGGAAAGTAATTTATATGGCAGATGTCGTAGATGAAACACAAGACACTTTCTCTTCCGGAACATATGGTCTTGTTCTCCTTGTACCTGTTCATATTTTACCCTAGTTGCGAGTTTGGATAATGATCATGTAGACATTTTACTTATAATTTTCTTTTTTGTTAGAAGCAGACACTGTTTGGGAACAACCACTATATACATAGTGTATACCGACTGTAACATCTGGAGTGAACTTCCTCTAAACATACATTTCCTTTCCTCACCTGACCATGTCCTTTTCTCGAACTTCTAATGGATTTTTTCCTATATCCAATGTTAGCTAGTCTGCTTCTAATGCTAGGAAAAGTATTTGAGAATCGAAATATTTTGAGTGAAGATGAAAGGTTTGTTCATAAAAATATATTTAAAACACTAAGCAATAATAAAGTAATTTATTTTGTTTTAAAATATGACATTTTTAGAGATGGTAAAGTTTAATCAATTCGTGAGCCATTGCTTTCACCCCGGCCCAGAGTTCCTGACAGGAAGGCTGAATAAGTCTTTCCGGAAGAAGGAAACCATACTGACCAAGGTCACCCATTTCTACAGTGTAAGCATATTTGATACCAGAATGACCTTTAGCGTAATCGTCAGCGCCACCAGCGGCAGAGTCTGGAACAAGAGGAGATAAATCATTTATCTAATGAAAACACTGCTAGTGTTGAAAGAAAAACATACATTTTCCCGCAGTAATGTGATAATCAAGAAACTTGTCATTCAGATTTCTTTGCGTGAATTAGTTTCGTCATGAAATGTTTAAATGAATAAAATTTGATTCTAATATCTTTTCGTTTGCTAAAGAAAGATTGATGCTTGAAATTCCCCTGCTGCTAAATGTCATAGACCAAAAATGCCCTAGACCAAAAATGCCCAAGTCTAACAAAAGTCACGTGACTGGAGCGATTAAAGCTTTATTGTTTATTTTTTTCTAACTCGAAAGGTAGCAATGTCAGCGTGGTTCCTTTGCTAGGATAGTTCTCTTTAATATTATTTTAAAGGTATTGTGTAGAATTCAACAATATTTTGCATAAATTATACACCAATTATCACATATTTCAAATATGTGAATGCTGACTTGGTGATTTTTTTTTATTCTAGAACAAAGTTTGTATTTTGACTTATGAAAAAAAAACAATTTCTGTCGTTTCACTTTTCACTGGAACAAAGTTTTGAAATTTTGACGTCTAGATTTCGTTCATTCCCAATACGTGTTCCCATTAATGATATTTAAGGCTCAGAAGCAGTTTCCAAAGATCTCTGGGATTTATCTAGAAATGTTATATATACTATATAACCGTCTACTTACATAAAACGACTGTGTCCTCCCCAACAGTATAACGATTTCTGTTCACATGGTAAATGGCGGATGCTGTTACTCGGCCTAGATGATCCTTTGATATACAAAACATATTTAACAGAAAATATGCCAAAGAGACGGAGAGTTTCTTTTAACAGATTGATCGGTGAAAGGAACACACACACAAGTGTGATATCATCCTGAGAAAGCGAATTATGTATTCTTTGTGTGTGTGTGTTTTTATTTTACTTTATTTTAAGATAACCCGTATTACTGTATAAAATGACGCTTTCAGTATGTGTTTAGTTTTTCCACGAATTATGTATAATCGTTACAAAAGCTCATCTTGGATTAAATTATTTATTACTGACTGGTCACATATCAGTAAATGAAATACAAGTATAGACAAGTTCATTTTATCAATTTGATACGTTTCAATAATAATTTAATAAAACGATTGATAGAAAAAGAAAAGGTAATAAATAAATTTGTTCCCTCCAAATACTGAACACATTCTGTGTGTATATTTGTGTACATCAGAAAAATATAATATTTCCATATTATCAAACCCTGAGACCTATATCCCCCACCACACACACACACACACACACACACACACACACACACACACACACACACACACACACACACACACACACACACACACACACACACACACACACACACACACACACACACACACACACACACACACACACACACACACACACACACACACACACACACACACACACACACACACACACACACACACACACACACACACACACACACACACACACACACACACACACACACACACACACACACACACACACACACACACACACACACACACACACACACACACACACACACACACACACACACACACACACACACACACACACACACACACACACACACACACACACACACACACACACACACACACACACACACACACACACACACACACACACACACACACACACACACACACACACACACACACACACACACACACACACACACACACACACACACACACACACACACACACACACACACACACACACACACACACACACACACACACACACACACACACACACACACACACACACACACACACACACACACACACACACACACACACACACACACACACACACACACACACACACACACACACACACACACACACACACACACACACACACACACACACACACACACACACACACACACACACACACACACACACACACACACACACACACACACACACACACACACACACACACACACACACACACACACACACACACACACACACACACACACACACACACACACACACACACACACACACACACACACACACACACACACACACACACACACACACACACACACACACACACACACACACACACACACACACACACACACACACACACACACACACACACACACACACACACACACACACACACACACACACACACACACACACACACACACACACACACACACACACACACACACACACACACACACACACACACACACACACACACACACACACACACACACACACACACACACACACACACACACACACACACACACACACACACACACACACACACACACACACACACACACACACACACACACACACACACACACACACACACACACACACACACACACACACACACACACACACACACACACACACACACACACACACACACACACACACACACACACACACACACACACACACACACACACACACACACACACACACACACACACACACACACACACACACACACACACACACACACACACACACACACACACACACACACACACACACACACACACACACACACACACACACACACACACACACACACACACACACACACACACACACACACACACACACACACACACACACACACACACACACACACACACACACACACACACACACACACACACACACACACACACACACACACACACACACACACACACACACACACACACACACACACACACACACACACACACACACACACACATTTTAAAGATCTCATCCCTTTCCATCCGTTGGAAAACGTTGGAAAGCACGAAAGGAAAAGCCACAGGATTTGTAAAAGTACCGCTATATATGGGGAACTCTGTTCAATATCATTTTATGATTTGTTAATCGTAAGGACACCAGAACTAGACCCCGGTGACTGCACATGTAGCTGCTTAGACATTTAAGAAATCATGGTGCGTAAATTCAATGATTTTTTTTAATGACACTCTATCTATAATAATGTATCTTTTTCTTTGAATCATTTTATATTGGTAAACTCTGTCAACGGACTTTATCACACACATACCAGATTTATATTTAAATACAAATATCATATTTGTTGAATCTGTATTTATGCTTTGAAGACTATACTTATTTACTAAATTTAGAATGGGACATTTATCCTCTGAGAAATATGCATTTCGGTCAAAAACAATAATTGTACAGGTATACTATTTAAAGAGCCAGACCCACTCCGTTATCAATATTTTTTTCATATTTTATTGACTGGAAATATTGTTGTATACTAACAGACAATATATAAATAAAGACTTGTATAAAGTCGTCCATGTGATATCGCTTGTAAAGATATTTTACCGATTTATGTATTGATCACATCTTTCAATTCTTAGATTTGACACAAAAACGTGCAGATTACGAGAAAAACTACGATTGATTGCAAAAAGGCCCTCAAATGGGGACTACGATACGGTAACGAACATATAGAACATCGCGAAATGGATCTATCTACAGCGAATATTCGATGATAAGAGTATTTATAAATATGATTTTAGATTGATACTACACGAGAGAGCCAAACAGGGAGCGATACAGAGTATGAACCAGCCATCTTCCTTCTTTTCGCCTCAGAGTCCGTCAGAACATGTTTTCTCCCCCGCTTCCCTCGTACGCTTTCTGGCATGTTGGAAGACGGCAGATTTATTTACAGTTCTTTGCGCATGCGTCAGGCATAATTATGAATTAGCACTGAGTCGTTTCGAATTCTTTTTTTAAAACTGTTTATTACGTTAGATTGGTAGCGATTTACTTTAAAATTGTGGTATTACAGGGTTAGTCAGAAAAATAGAAAATCATGATTTTTTTTATATAAGATAATATCGGTCGGGGAGTGGGTTTGGCTCTTTAACACAACACACGAATTAGTTACCAAGTCGCTGGCATCAGCTGGTAGATGAGCTGTGTATCCCCAGGGATAAATCCAGTATTGTCCGTAACTGTGTATGTTTAGATAGACCAACGTGTGGGAGCTTACAGAGTCGAGAGCATGCGCTATAGCTTGCGTTTCCGGTTCCGACAGAGCATGAGGCCCAGCATATGTCTCTGTGCACTGATCCAAACTGCCACCGTTGGCTGAATTCGTCAAAATATCAACATATCAATCTTCTACTAGTACATCTAAGTACATTGATGTAGTGTGATGATAAATACGAACAATGACCAAGGATAGGCGTAATCATCTCGCCGGGATCAGTTGTGTTTCAGGCTTACCAGCCCAACAACAGAGAAAATAATATTAGGGCCACCAATTGGTAACAATTACACTGAATAGAACAATATCAATCAAAGAGATACGTGTCATCTTTCAACGTTTCGTAGATTAAAGATGCTTGGAATTGGGATAAACACGCATTTATAGCAACAAAACAGTTACGTTTACTAGTTCAGCTGCATTACTGTGAAGGATACAATGATACATCACTTACACGGGTCCCAATGATAGCCAAAGTTCCTGTTAAGATCCACCCCCATCTCATCACTACCACAGTAAGACGAATGATATGACCCGTAACTGCTAGCCATATTCTTCCGCCACATTCGGTCCTGCCAATGGACATCCGCATAATTAACACAATTAAATAGTCTGTTGTTTTTATCATCCATGATAATATTTCTTATTAATTTGCGACTATTAAGAATTATGTTATCGCTGCAAAGATAATCATATTATTGGTCTTCATGGTAATAACACGCTGCCGACAATAGTCTTCAAACCGTTTTTTCTGTGTAGTTTGGTATTTAGAAGTAACTTCCTGTACCTGCATGAACTCCTCGGTAAGTTTAATACGTAACAACGATCTATAGAGATTACTTACACTGTTCCTAGAGTATTCATACCCATCTGGATTGACAAGTGGCACCAGATACCAGTCAAACTTGTCCATCAGATTGGCAATATCTGGGTCGTTACTGGGATTGTTAGCTAACTACAAACAAAACACACCGATATAGAAAAATAATAATCTTACCGATCCTCACTTATTTTAGCATCGTCCATATCCTGAGCTGTTTGTGGGCAAATTTAGGAACAGAAGTCTCCTTCTGTCTAGATGTTCTTGTTTAGCAGAACAATTTTTCAAAAATGTGTATAAAACATATTCCGGTTAGTAAATGTAGATGCGTTCAAAAGGTACGTATATGTAAATGAACCGTTCGATTTGATGTCCAAATCGGTATTCTTTCTTTTTATTTTATAGTATGTAATGTATGTAATGTGATTCATTGATACATAGGATAGTCACTTACCTGGTCAATCATATAGAGAACGACGGCAGGCGCTATCCACTCTCTGGCGTGAATTCCGCCATCCATAAAGATGCTCTTCTTGTGTGCCCCGCTGGAGGTGGTTCCGGTAGAGAACTGGGAATATGTAATGGATTCAAAGTCACTTTTGATTTTATTTCTGATTGTCATTTTTTACATCTTTAAAGCGAACTAAGATGCATACTTCTTGATACTGAACCAGTATGTAATGTACAAATGTATCTTTTGGGGATGAATTTCCCAAACATTTACACACTTGCAGCATCTGATCAAAATGAATGTATTGGGATGACTGCATTATTGTAATATTGTCGTAAGAATTGTTGAAATGATAAAATTTGTTGTTGACAATATATTCGTCGAGTTTGGTGGTAAGATTTACCTGTCACCAGACAGATATCCATGTCATGTGGTTACAGACCACTTAATGTTATAACATACATCCTTGATATGTAATCTGCCTTTATTGAATCTGCCACGATGAAGAGAAAGAAAGTGTGTCTCTATCAGACCCCACTTGCTTACTGAACAGTGTACTTACCCTGATGAGATTAATGGCTCTACCCTGGATGGATGTTCCAAGTTTGTATAGATGGGCATGGCTATTTGAAGACACAATTGAATTCAGGAAAGTGTTGATCTGAAAATTTGAATGAAACAGGTCGTTAGATCATTTGATTTAATATAATCTTTTATATTTTAATTAATTCAATCAGCACAGTACATACTCATATAAGTGAGCAGTCACGGCTGATTATAATAGAAATTAACACATATTGACGGATTAGTTAAATATCATTAACCTACCTCCGCATACGAATGGTAATGGTTCATACTGAGAGAGCCACTCGTCGCCCTTTTTTGTCGATCAGTTGGCCTAGATTCCTCTATAATGCTGCACAGAAAATAAATAATAGATCTGATGATTTCATTAAATCGTTGTCTTTTACGCAGCAACATGGGCTGGAAAATGATAAGTAAGTAAGAAGGGGGTTCAAAACATATACCTGCGACCTACCAATCAGGATATTTAATGCAATACAGTTATGACCTTAGGATGGCAACATTGGAAATCTTCAACCAACATTAAAATTGTAGTCATAACTGATGTTTAAGAAAATAAACATTTCAACTAAAGTCTTAGGGGGTATGAATAATGCAAACCGGTGGAGACATCGTAATTCTACCAGCCCAACAACGTTATTTGGACAAAGCGACCTACGATTGGATGTCTTTGATCCAAACGTTTACATCTGCCCCTAAATGCTTCAGATCAGAGATAACATCGTCGACCTCTTCAGGAGTCACGTGGATGTCGTATGTGCCATTTTGATGTTTCGGTTGGTTCCAAAAGTCCAACTGAAAAACACCATATGATCAAATCAAATTAGTGTTAAATAGATACCTAAACAAGGAATTATTAAGACAACCATATCTTGTCAATCTAGCTCAGACTTACTTCTTCATTCGATCTGTTTCATCTGTTTTTAATGTTTGATATTACAAATGAGAAAACCTAACATTTATGAAATAATAAGTTTTTTCCCTCATGAACAAGTTTTTTGTTTGGTTTTGTTTTATATTCTTTCTTTATATTTCCAATTTAGAAAAGCAATACGTCTGTAAAAATACTACGCGAAATATGATTTTATGGTAAATTTCAATTCTTTAGGAATTATCTCAAGTATTTCACTAAAGAAGTAATGAAATACACATGTACGCTTAAATCAACCCTATCGGATTAATACTGAGATCCGTGTGATTTTGTGTTTTTTTCCTTTGTTTGAATTTTCATTTTTGTTCGAGGTCAAATAAAGTTATATCATCTTTAAATGCCTTGAAAGCTTTCACGTGCATTTAGCCATTGCTATCGTGTAATAAGTTTATAGTGATAGTACATATGCCTGTGTAATTCCTTATTTCGGAGTAAGCAATATTTGTTTTTACATTAATATTGTTTTTTAAACATTTTTGCGTTACACAATAAGAATACAAATAACTTTTCATACACCATTCACATCTCTTCAGTGTCATAACTGATGTTACATGTACATCTTCATTTCATCAACATCACTAGGATATACCATAAATACCATCATCTATACAATATTTCCAAACACACACACACACACACACACACACACACACACACACACACACACACACTTACATATACAACTTACAACCTAATAAGAGAGACAGGGAAAAAACCCTAGAAAGACAGGGAGAGAGGGGGAGGGCATAAAGCAATATGCTCGTCTGATCGCCCATTGATAAAATGATATTTAGGTCTAGATGACGGCCAGGAATGGCAATGGTATCGTCTCCGTTATATCTTAAACACGACATTGTGACATTCAACCTACTTGATAACGCATCGACCTTATTGCATTATCTATAGTTCAGTGCATTCACCTATCTCTAAACGCTGACACATGACACATTAAAACAGAGCTGCATTTAGACATAACATTTGAACGTATAGCGCAGATATTTCTGCCGTTTAACTAAAAAAGCACTCCTTTCATTTGGGTCATTGCTGTATTTATAAAAAGATACATTATTGTGAGGTCGTTATTAATGTTAAGCACTACCATATATTGCCAAACGTAAATGTAGATTTAGTTTGACCAATCGATTTGTTTTTAGTGAAGGATCATCCGGCATAACTCCCAGATCCAATGCAGCAATTTGTGTACGTCAGTTTTGCTAAAGGAACCTGCTATGATCATTGGCACATTTTGAATCTTAAATGGCGTGTATTGCGACGTACATCTGTTCTCATTTGATGTATGAATTAATCCATGACCTCAAAAGGAGATATATTCATCAAATTAGCAAAGTTTACATTAAAGGGATATTCCGCACAAGATAGGATTTCACAGCTGCTTTTGAAGAAAATTTAGATAAGCATACCATATCGAATTTTCAGTTTTTTTTTATTGATCTAGATAGATAGATTTACAAACGTTCGCGATGTCCTGATTGCGTTATAACAGGTTTGCGTTGTTATTAGCCGAACAGAATGAAATAATTATGTAAATTATAAAAAAAAAACAAACAAACAAAAAATAATCACAATGAAGTGATGAAATTGCAACCTTAGTGGGAACTGCATACAATCTATGACCCAGTAACCTTTCAGCTGCGGAGTTGCGGATTTTCCGATGCGGTATATTTATACGGTTAAATTCATATTGGCTGGAACTGTCTCCACCAATTTCGCCCGTCCAAACTAACCATAGGAAAGATATTTTGATGCTATCAACAGTTTTAAAAGTGTGAGTTCTTAAAAAGATACAAAACAGTCAGAAATTTTGCAAATTTGACGAAATATCCCTTTAAATAAATAAATGATTACCTTGGCACATTACACATCATCTGTTTGTGATCGAGATATACTTGGTAGTTCACTTAGTAAAGCATCCAAAATATAGTACATACATATATTTAATTACCACATCTTACATTGTACTTTCCTCCTAAGGCTTCAATGTTCTTGAAGTTTTCCAGAAGATTAGGGAACACCTTCAAAACTTGATGTCTGTCGAGTAAAGAAATCTTATCAATCAATATTCCTTTTGTTTCTCGAATCTAACAAAAAAAAAAAAAAAAAAAAACATCTGTCTTCGTTTTAAAACCTTTATTGTGTACAATTACATAAAATATTGACATAGCAAATATAAGTTACTCTAGTTAACGAAAGGAATGTTCACTGTAATAATGTAAAATCGAAACAAAATAATGCACACAATACATATTAACAATTACCAATATGAGTTCTCGTTGCTGATTGGATAAACTGTTATCATATGATTAAGAAGTTTCTGTCGATCTCATTTACAAGTTACTATATTGTTTTAAAAATGATGATACATACCCATCGTATCGCCTCTCACGTGACTGCGGTTTTCCGTGTACGGCAATAACAACCAGACACACTAACCAAATGGTCTTCATGGCAAGCTGAATACATATTAATATTTATCATTATTATTTTAACGGCCGACCAACACAGTAAAGGTCATTAGCTTCTACAAATGGTCCGAAAGAAACACTACACCAAACAAACAAATTGTTATTTTTAATTATTACATTAAAAGACAGATGTCAAAACACTCACATATATACTTTTGGATAACAAAGTAGCCTTGATAAGTCATATTTCGTTGTACAGACTGACAGCTTTCAAAATTATTCTAGCATTGGTATACATTCACATGAATTATTTTTTCCAAATTTTTCAACTTGTTTTATTTCAGTAACGTCTTTCTCGTGTAGACTTCATGACATTGTAATGAAATAACATGTGTTTTAGTGGAATTGTTTCATGATATATGACAGACGTCTGTCCCATGTTAGATAGTGCCTAGGAGGTGGTACTGATAACCTGTACTTGGCGGAATAAATTATCAAGGCTACATGTATGTTATTATCAATAAAATAATGTATAATCGATTTCTTTTTATAAAATGAAACTCTATCAAAAACTATGGGTGAACTTTACTTTATAAAATGCTAAACCATTATGAAAATATCTAAGGATAAATCAAGATTGTTTTATGAAAGAACTATCGATGTTATTTTGGTAAGAATTGGCATTTCAATTGTATTTCAAAATAATTGTACGATATTTAAGACATACCAAGATAGCGAGGAACTGTGTGCCTTCCTGTAAAGCAAAGTCCGACTGTTATCTTATCACCGCTTACGTCAAGTCCGTCGTAACAAACAATCATTTCGCCGTTGGTAACGTGTGCAAATATTTGATATACATGTACTAGATACCAAAAGCGACTGCTGAATTTAATAAAAAAAAATCGGTCTGTTATGGCGAAGGAATGTAAATGAGATTTAATAAGGTGTCTTAGTTTTTTCTTCCTAAATCATTTCCGCGACTGTTAATATCTTGATTTTCGTACTGGCGTTGAGCCATTAACATTTGCTAGTGAGATGTTGGATGAGACCCTTGGACCGAGCCAAACCAATGACTGCAATGTAACGTTTATACGGTAGGCGTTCTTTACTTATTTCTACAATCCTTGACTTAACCAATATTTACATTGCGTATTTAATCGATAAAGCTGAAGACGCTTACTCTTCCGGGACATCAGGTCTAATTATCCTCGTACCTTCCCATTAAGTCTCGGTGAAAATCTTACTTTTCTTTATATTTTCCACTAGTTTTATTGAATTTGACTTCTGATCATGATTGTGTTGACATTGGTGTTTTCTTGTAACTGTCTTCTTCTCTATGACATATGAATGTGACACACACATGTGACCAAACCATGCCCAGCCGACGTTGCTGTCAATCATGGTGATAATTTCTTGGTGTTTTGGGGGTACAAGGGTTACATGCAAGTGTTGCAGGTTGAAGCCGTAATTTTCAGTTAAAAGACAGATATGATTGGAAATTGTTGTCAGATGTAACCTTGTCTCAGAGTATCGAAAGAACTTATTATAAAATGCCAATTTTTTATTTACATATCATCAAGTATTATTTAAAAACTGTTAAACAGAGGAATTTTCAAGGAGTATTTCAAAATGACTGTAAAAATTAAAACGTAAGCAAAATTTGTGCGAAGAAAAAAGTCTTACAGACTTATCATCGTGAAGGACACTAAAGACAAGTCATTCGTACCTTCCAGACATTTGGTCACTGATAATGTGTGCAAATATTTTATATTGTGAGAATTTTGGCAGCTGTTTGTTAAAAGATTGATCACCTATGACGATGGACGGCAAGTGCGACTTAATCTGGGATCTTGGTATCTTTTTTGCATCTCTTTGTAATGTTTTGGTTTCAGTATTGGTGTTGAGCATACGCTTTGTAAGTTTTTTTATAGTTCAACATCTGCTGTTGGTAGATGTTACTGAAACCGCCGTCATTGTAGATATTTTGACAGTTGATAAGGAAGAGCAAAGGGGCGCGGCTATATGGACCAACTGGCGATTGGTTAACTACATGTTTCCAAAATGTCGGACGATGTGCTGACTTGTACGAGCGATGTACGAACGGTGTGTTTGGTGAGTGATGCGTTACAACCAGGGCACCTTTGTCGGTTTGACTGGGAACAACGATTGTTTCCTGGTCACGTTATCAAACTGTCGTGCTGGCGCGTATTGTTTGTCGTACTGTCGCATTATTGCGTTGATTTTGTCGCATTTGTCGCCCCTGCCAACGTAATAAAGCGAGATGGATGAAAACAGCCACCATACCAAACTGTATTTACGGTACTGCAGTTAATGTGTTTGTCTAAACTAATTTGTAGCGTTTAATCAAGACGAAATATTTATATGACGCTGATCTAATTCATAATCTACTGTTTTCATACAGCATCATACGGCGAAATGTAAATATGTATTTACATAATTATTGTTCACCTTATTTTACAGCTCAGCACCTACAAATCATATCTTACAAAAGCGTTAATGAAACACCTTAATTTTCAGTCCGTACAAAGAGGATTGATCGAAATAAAGGTAGGCTAGTAGGTTGTAATAATATTTTCTGGATTCGTTCTACATGCCTCTCCTTGTGGCGATTTAAAAGCTGAGTTTAACAACTTTCTTCTTACCTCTGCTCGCAATAGATAGTCTAATCATTTCATAAGTAAGGTAGAATGATAACTTATTGTTTGATGAGGAAGTGTTCTGCGATGGGTACACGTGTTCCGGCTTGACACAGGCAAAGATCTGCAACGCAATGATCCTAGGATGATGTGTTATCCCTGGACTTTATACAGCGAGAACAATGTATATATTTGTGTATCCCTCTAACTGAATATACGGAAACTTCAGCCACAGTTTAATTTCGGCCATTTGCAAGCATGGTAAAACGTAGAATACCGAAGCTGATTAATTTGTACGATTTTAGAACAGGTAAAAAGGTAAAATACAAAAACTGCGACACAGGCACAGGCTGAAGGGAGACAACTCGACGTAACAATTGCTAACTTCCTTACATCTTATTCGGTTTAAAATATATTAGCAATATCGATATGATTTATTGAACACGTCATAATGTTGTAATGAAGACAAAAAAGACCCGTTAAAATACGAAACTAAAACCTGAGAAAAAAAAATCAAAAGAAAAAAATCATAATGTGAAATCTTAATCTATCTGAATAAAAACATATGGTGGAGAAAATTAAATTTGGTTATCAGGGAAAACACTTATTTACTTAACCCACAAAATTGAAATGCTTAAAAACTGCAGCTCTTGTTCGAGTTGTCTCCCTTTAGTCGGTAAAATGATTCCGATATTTAGTATAAAGCGATTCTTGCTTTTTATAACAAAGGGAAACTCCTACCTACAAATGTTATTTTTTTTCCAAAAACAACACGTAATGCACTAGTTTAAATGATGTTGACCTGCCTCGTTTGTATATGATTGATTGTTCGGCCGGGGTATAGAAGGCCTATGTGTGTGTGTGTGTGAGTGTGAGGGAGGGTGTGTAAGAGTGTGTGTGTGTGTGTGTGTGTGAGTGTGAGGGAGGGTGAGGGGGTGTGTGTGTGTGTGTTGACTTTAAATATGAAATATAATCCATCCCTTGCAAAACAACCAAACCCTTTTATAGAAGATAACTATCAACAGCTAAATTTTGAAATTTTGGATTCATTCCATATCAAATAAGTGAAATCAGTGTAAAGTGAACAAGAACACGAACACAACCATTTCAAAGTTCCAAATCAAGAGATTGAACCCAGAACAAAAATCAACAACATACATGTATTATAGAAGGTTTATTTTGTTACTGTCAAACCCCACACGTTAAGCCGTAATTTTGCTTGAAAAATCAAAAGTTCAAAGTGGGGAGTGCGCACTTTTTTTCCGTCTAAAGATCAAAGATTCTGCGAGGCCCCTTTTCGTTTAAAAACGTGACTGCAACATGCAAGGCGGGAAATTGTCGAACTGTAAAGACCTGAGTGGAACATTGAAAAATATGTCGTTTTATATTATGATCTTTTGAAACACTTACTGTTAAGAAATGACAGGTATTCTATTCTTCCTCTCATTGGTATATCACGACAGAGAACCAGGTGCTCGGTGGCGGAAGTTAGCGTTGCCAAATTAGTATGCGGAGTCTGCATTGCTCTTAAGACTACGGATTTATTGTTGATTAAAATCGGTCTCATTATTCTTACTTAGCATATATAATAGCATATTTGTCATAATAAGGATAGTTTCGCACAATTATCTCATGAATATGTGTAGTGCAAGACAGTTACTCTTCGTTAAAGTACAGAGGTGGGAGGAAATTTTACTCACGGAGATTGCAGTTACCTGCTTTGTGCATAATATTGTGTGACGAGGCTAACGTCTTATGAATATGTCTCTGATCAAACTTATAAAACGATTCTGGGATGAATTCGTTCTTATAATGGATTTTATTCCAAGTTAAATCAAAAATAAGAATAAGCTGCTGCTCCGAAGGTGATACACAATACACACATGTACCGTCGGTGACCGAGGTATCTCTCCGCAACTCATCCGATTTTACAAATATCAACTTGAAACCCGGGACAAGGATGCATTATAATAACGATGTAAATGATACATCGTCTGATGTTGCTAACTTTGAGGAATTTAGGCTGAAGGCGTATCACGATTAACCATGGTTATTGTTTTCATATATATAACTGAAACATCGTTATTAATTTATTATAATCATATTAAGTACATACATCTTGATGTCACTTACTTTATATAGTATTTCCATAGTAGCTGAATACGCTGACCCCGACTGTGATACACAAAGTATCCATGTGCCGCCGGCGATCGAGGAAAATAAACTCTATATTACTCAAACGATTTTATAAATATCGAACCTAAAATTTAGTAGAAAGGTGTATTGTGATCATATCTATGATGTCGCTAGCAATGTTGATTATCTGATTGCGCAATTCCTTTTAAACTGCTGAAGATAACATGAAGAAATTTGCAGTATACCATTGCAACACACTTACGTCGATATGCAGTGCACTTCTCTTTGGTCACTGTGACCTTGACCTGAACGTCAAAGGTCAACGATCCCATAATCCTCTGCATATCGCCACGCCACGGAGAATTCTCTGCAATCAAGAGCAATTCTAGCACGTGATTGACGTCAATCTCAACTAAGACCTAACCTGTCTATTTTGGTAAGTTCGTAGTATAACACATTTTGTCTCATACTATTTGAAAGATGCCCGCATTGTTTTTATTGCATACGACTGCCGCTAGGGGCATTGGTCAATTATTGGACAATTTTGACGAATCATAAAGCAAGGATTTAGTAACAGAAAATGAAACCAGGAACCATTCAACAGTTCTGAAATTTATTTCACGTTAATCTGGTTCCCTAAAACTTTACCTGCCCACGCATATAAGTATGCATTGTATCAGTTGCCTAAATCTATACTGTCACAGAGTATACGATGAGGTCGTATTAATGAACAGGTTAACAAGAATCTCATTAATGATTATTTAAACAAATACGAGTTATTCTGGTTCTTCCGATAATTTCTAGTCGGGATTGTTCCTTCTAAACCGCTGCAGATAGATTGAGAAACCTTGCAGAATACCGCGATTTTTTTACAATTATTTTTCATCCTGTCAGTAACTCATAAACGATTAAAGATATCTGTTTCACATCTTTTTCACTCGCAAGGAAAGTACAGTACTCTGCCATTGAATCATTACGACCTTGACCTCAAGTTAAAATGTCAAATAAGTACAAATTTTCCCAATAATTTCTTACCTGGACAATCATTTTTAAACTTATAAAGATATCTTAATGAAAGTTGGTGTATGCCTTTATCACCAACAGATGATTTTAAGTGCTCTGCGATGAATGACTTGGAAGGAAGGGAGACACATTATTATTATACACCTTCCCAGCGTTTCTATCAAACGTACCACAATCTTTCGTTCACTGTCATAGTTGTTAATTTTTAAATAAATATATTTTTAATATTTCAATAAATCAAATTACCAACTCGATACTAGACAGTATTTCAGTGCCTGGGACAATGGCTCTTCTTAATCCAAAATCAATTTTCAAAACCTATGTGACACTTTCAAAATCTTATGTGACATATCATAAATAACAATATAATTTACACACATCTTTTATTGAAATCTGAATAATCATCATAACCTTCACATGATTACATAGAGGATTGACATAAAATTGGACTGTGTCCACAAATAAAATTATATCAAATCACACAAGTGAATGTCCTTGAGAAACACTTAATGCCCTTAAATTTCAATTTTCCAAGACCTGGCCCTCGTTCCACTAAGAAACTTAAATTTGTTACTGAACTGAACTCAATTTACTGACACCTCCGCATTGCAACATCTTGCTTACTATCAGTTTTTGTAATAGCCTGTTGTAAAGCCTGTGAAAAAGCTGTTGCAAGTTGTGGAGAATTTACAGAAGCTACATGTTCATCTAACTTTTCATGACGTGCCATTGAGGATGTTTTGCATACCTTACAGCCATCAGTAGCAAACACATTCTTCGGCTTATTTTCAACACAAATTCGACAAAAAGTGCACCTTGCTCAACATAGAGCCATGGCCAAATTTTCAACCAATTATCTTGAATTTTCCTAGTGTTCGTAACTTTGACATTTTCAGTTGACGTAGGAATACTGATAGACGGCACATTTTGTTCAGACGGGGCCACTAAGTCTTGATCTACAATGGGTGACGCGGTAGATTCATCTGCGACATTTGATTTTTTAATGACGGCTTGTCCATCAGACTCGGGATCGGGCAGTGTTTCCGATGAAATTTGATCGTTTGACATATTTTGACTAGATGACGACTGAAAGAATTTACTGATGGGACCCTGATCAAACGGTCTCTTTAATTTCTTTTTACTTTTTTCTTTACGTTCTCGATCAGGGATGTAGATACAGACGATGCTGACTATTTTACCGAGCACGCAGACCAGTGACGTCATTGAAATATGTGTAAATCACTTGAGCGCTTGTTTTGAATGAAAGGAGCGAATCAAAGCGTCTGCGTGATTCGTACTCAAAAACTTCGTACCCAAAACGGATCATAAAAATCGAAAAGAGACACGGCGCATTAGTAGCCAAAATCGATGTGACATTTTCGGTTTTTATGGGACTATGGCGCATGGCGCACGCCTTTCCCAGGGACTGGTATTTAGAGAAAAAAAATAGTGGGTGATGAAATCATGATCGGTAACGGTCTGGGAGTTCCCTGTTGTGTGTGTATATTAGTTGTATATAGACCTTAAATTGTATCCGTTCATGTCATTTTATCACATAAATCATATCCTCACAATATCCCCGGCAAAATATCTACAGATTTAAGAATGCAAAACATTATATCATAATTTGTGATAAGTTTTAAAACATATACTATTTTAGTAGTTTATTCAGTTTCGTGTGAAACGTGAGATGTTTTTCTAATGACTATGTAGCCGATGAAATATCACTGTTGCCACGAGGCAGCTTCCGTATATGGCTATTATAGTATAATATAACTGCAAAAATGACATCGCTCCGCCCCGAATACTGACCTGTATACCAGTAAGTAGATATAGGCAATCTCCACCTACGTACCGTCCAGAATACGGAGTCCCAGCATCACTAAATCAAAGATGTCCATACAATATCTCAAAGCTAGTGTTAATATCTATTTACAGGCGCTATAAACGTCCTCGTGAACAAAAAACAGTTGATAATAATTAAGTAAAAACTTCTACAGAGCTAGCTGCTAAAGACCGACCCGACAAGCACTTTTAGAGAGAAAGGTACTAACCTTAAATAAACGTGAATACTTCCCCGACAATATAATTATACAGCTTGGAGGAGAAAAAATCCAAACGACATGTGAATGCGATGTAGTATAAAAGTGTGGAATGTATTTAAATACCTTTACGAATACCAGTAATTCTGATAAACAAATACTATTATAATACAGCACATGTTTTACGAACCTTACTCTTGTAAAGTACTGGATACAAACATTCGTTTTGTTTGTTTGTTTTGTTGTTTGTTTGTTTTTTGTTTGTTTTTTTCCTCTCACCTGCTCCTAAACGATCTAGTAGACAGCTTACTGTTAACAAATCAGGATACTGTAAACCAGCCATCAAAGTTTCTATCCTCTAAAACCTTACTGTAATACGTTTATGACTGAAATAAAGGACAGATAAACAAACCTGGTTATTTTTGCTAATGATAAATAACATTACATCTAACAAAATCTAACTTGAATGTACAAGGTACAGGTACCGAGCCTACGTAATATGTTAAATAATAGATGGAAGCCATATTGGTGCAGGGTATAGATTTTGAACCGGCCAAAGAGCTCATCTCGTTTGTGACGCTTGGTGGAAAAATACGTTCGTGACCCATTAGGAAAAAACGGGTTCGTGACTCGTTAGGAAAATACACGTTCGAAACCTGGTAGGGGAAGACGCCCGTGACCCCTTAGGAAAAGACGCGTTCATGACCCGTTAGGAAAAGACACCTTTATGACCTGGTAAGAAAAGACACTAGAATCCTTGCTTGCCGTGAGAAGTGAGTTACCTTGCCGATAAGAGCTGGTTTCTGTGCAGAGGGACATTACAGATCCCTAGAACAGGGTCTGCTACAGTGGATGTTCGTAACAGGCGACTAAGATTAGGTCTAGAGCAAAATAAGATATGTCGTCCTTGTCTTCTACCAAGAGAACATTGAAGCGACCAAAATAGACCTGCTTCCCCATTGCAGCATTCGGGCCCTTGATATTTTCCTCCTTCTCCTGTCTGCCCTTTCTTTGTGTGGTTTATTTTTCACTCTTTGCGTTCCTCACGACACACGTACCAATATATCCCTAGCTGTTGCAAGGACGTTAAAATCGGAAAATAGAATTACTTTCCCTCTGGCGGAAAAAGTAATGCAATGCTGAAGAATTCTAGAGAGAGAGAAAATGGAAAGTGGATATAACAATCAAGATTAATAGACTTGTAAATATAGAAAATGATTGCTGTTCCTCTATGGTAATAATCAACAGTAGGCAGTTTTTTTTTCACAAGATCTACCTTTTTTATACATGTTTACGTCCAGATTATGGCATATGGAGTTTCAGGTATGCCAGTGTAGTTTTCATATCATGCATGCGTTTCATTTAATTCATTTATCGTTTCCACTTGCGTTACTTTATAGTAAGTTTTGAATTGGACCTTACGAAAAGCAAAAACGTTTCCGGCGGGACATAGTCATTCGAACACATCCACGTTTGAAAATATGGGAAGATCTAAACTTCACTGTTATGAAAAGCTCATCTTAAATGGTCAGAAATTCAAATGGCCTAAATATACAAAATCTCGGTTGCATTCCGTCTTTTTATAGTTATCACGTGCATATCACGTGAACGGAAGTTGTGACGATGTTTTTGTGCATGAATGTAACAGGTGAGTTTTTTTCAATCTGTGTTGGTTATACATATATAGAAATGGCATGAAACTGTTCGCCCGTCGATGGATAAACAGATATCTCGTTTAACATGCCCCTGTCCCTTCATTTTATTTCGTTACTCCTGTTCCATCCTCACAAGTGCATTTGTATATGTCTTTCCCTGGCTGTTGTCGTTGGTGGGCAACATCACGATGCTTGCACCGTTCATCATCCTTCAGTTGTTTATTTCATTATTATTCCTTTTTTTAATGAAAAATGTATTTTAGATGAAATTTAATATATTTGCTATGTTATCATTATTCCGATGATGGGAGTTGGACAAGTTGTCGTTAGGGATAGGCCATACAATCACCATCGCATCTGATCATACGTGTTCCTTTGACTTTTTTATGTTCAGATATCTTGTATGTTTTAAATAAATATGAATTTAATGTCTCATAAGTGAAATTATGGCTTGACATATTTTACATATGTGTTTTGATGCAAAATATATTTGACACTTTAATAAATATTTTTTCTTCTTAAATCAACTCTTTTGTCTGTAGAATTAACTCATTTGTCTGTAAAGTACGACTGGATGGAATGTTGTGTTAAATTGCCCAAGTCTATACATTTCAGTAGGATGGTACTATAATAACACCCCGACAATGTACGTGTTCCGTTGAACAATGTCTATTTCTTTTAGGATATATCTCCATAAAACTTAATGCAAACAAAACAACACCAAATTAGTTATTATTTACGCACATGCATTTGGAAAACTTGTTGCTTTCTGAAATTTTACTTTACTTTTTTTTTAACTTGAAAATTGTTCCTGTACTTATGTTAATTAAAAGTGTAAGAAGTATAAACTAGTTTTAGACTTTAAAAATAAAGTATTAATTTGCAATCCAATTCATTTTTACTGTCAAGAAATGATACATTGTAGTTGAAGGACATTTTTTTTGCTATTATTCATCATATTTTTTTTCTCAAAACATTTCTTTTGAATGAAGGAATGAAGTTAATACTTGAAGAGTTTTAATCAAAGAACTGTGAATATATGTACATTTTACAAAATCTTCATTTCTGTTTTTACTGCAACCTTCTGAAGCTGTGTAGTACATTCATTTTGTCCGGTAGAGTCTTTTTTATCAATGATTTAAAAAAAAATCTTGACCATATTTTGCCTGCATCACTCCCCAACAGTTTTATACACTTTGGAATGTTCTAGAATCATGGATCTTCAGTAAGTGTTTTTTATGGGAGTTATCCCCCTTATCTAATTTTGTACCTGCCAGAGTTAATGGTAAACATTCCACAGATTTTTTTCCCAGAATGATATTTTGGATTCTGTGCCCATTTCTAGGTATTTGTTTTTAAGGAACAAATTAGGTCCCTACTTTCAATTCATATTTATAACTTATATTTATGATTTACCTTTTATCTTCTTTTTTCTTAATTTGCCTTGGAAAAAATGTTGCATATGTTAAGCCATCTTCTTTATGATTCATTTATCTTTTACTTTTTATGACACCTGCATTTTATGACGAGGGAGCATATAGTGTTACTCATGTGTGTCTGTCGCGTCCCGTCGCACCCCATTGTGACAAATCCCGTTCAGAATTAGTGTCATATCTTGAGATTCTCTCAAAAGATTTAATGGTTTATATTTACCCTACATTATCATAGCATCATTTTTTGCACCTTATCATATATCAAGTTGGTTATCTTAGTTAAGGTAAAAAAGTCATAGGTTACATTTAACTACTTCCGAAAAGTCACCCAACAGTAATACTTAGAAGCATGGAGAAAAAAGGAGGGACTGGGGAGGGGGTCTTACAGACGTTTTCTAGTGAACACAAAAAGTTCATTCATATCAAATAAACACTTTGTTTGATTTTGTACTTATCACTACCGAAAAAATATACTGAAAAAGTCCTGAATTATACACTATTAATTAGTATGACTAACACCATACATGTTTTTCTGCTGTCTGTATTAAGTCCTACTGCCAGTGACCTTGAGTTTATAGTAGGACAAATATGACTAAAGTACATGTATTGTAAGGATTTTGTGAAAACGACTCTTTAAAACTTATAAACCTTTCAGAGATAATCCATTTACAAAAAATGCATGTTCATTTTCAAAATGATGACATACACCTGGGAATTAATAACTATATGCTAAATCCTGTTGTCTCTTTGAAATGAGTCATATTTATGACCCAATTTCCTGCTTAATGTTTTGTACAATTCAGAAAAGCTTTTAAAGGAAACAGGTGAAGTATTGTACTTTTCTTGATTAATTACCAAATAATATGACTTTTATTACCGAAATTAAATTTTTGTATATCACTGCAGGAAAAAAAAACAAGCACAACATAATACATATCATTAGTAGGTTTGTTTGTCAGTGCATAACATACCTGTCTTCTATTTCTTCTGACTCATTGTAACAGTGCTTTGTTTTAGGGTTTATTTGGTGCAAGTTGTTGTTTAAACCGTACTGCACCATTATCTCATAATCATTTTCATATCCATTTTCTCAG